CCTCTGTAGCTGGTTGTGATCGCGCAGGCGGCTTGCTACCGAAATTGATTGGCTTCAGTTCGCGCCACTGGCATGCCCACACGCCCAGCGAAGTCATGATGGTCGCGCTGCATATCTGGAGGGCCCACCAGAACATGTGGGTGGGTATCGCGTGCGTATATAGGGAGGTGACGATCAGGTGGATAAAGTGGACAGTCAGGGCGAAGTCGAGAACGAGTTTTGAGCGCGCGATAAGGAGAAGTATGAAGATGGCACTGCCGCGTGTTAGACCATGGTATGACTGATTATCCAGCGCGATCGAGTGCTTACCAAGTGAGACTATTCAGCACCCAGACCAGACCCAGCGTCCATCCGATTGTGGTATCGCCGCGTAGACTTTGCCAACTGAATAGGAGATCGGTGCTGACCTCCTTGCCCGCTACCAGCGCGGTGAAGAGGATGAGGACGCCGGCGCATGCATAGTAGGCAGCCTGTAGGAGTACAATCTGCGTGAGGATGCGGGTTGGGGACAGATCCGCAAGTGCGCCGGGTCGTGGAGGGCGGCGTCGGCGTGGCATCAATACGCGGGCGATGCGCTATAACCCGAGCATAAGGGGAGTTGTCGATTTGGCTGTTGTAGTTGCAAGGTTGCCTGTTGATTCATGGGTTCCCTAACGGTTCGGCGAAACGTGGACAGCCAGCGCCGATGTCATAGCTTAGGGTCTGCCAAGCACGAATTCGACATCGCTGCGCTCTCCAACGTCTATCGACAACAACCCTATCAACTCTACAAATCCGACCTCCAGACTTACACTACCGACGTACGTTATCACCCCGATTCGGTCTACCTGCGAATACCCCACCTTGCGACTGACACCCGCGCCAGTTTCGACCGTCGCCTCCACCTCCGCATCTCCTCCGCAAGCTCGAAAATCGCCGCCATGGGTTGGTTCGGCTCAAGCTCCAAGGACGACTCGGGCGTCAAGAAGACAGAAGGCGGTGCATTCGAGTCGCCATCGCGATCCAACCGGAAACAATGTTACGCTGCACGCGACGCTTTCTTCGAATGTCTCGACAAGAACAACGTCCTGGATAGCATAAATACAAAGTCTGGTAGGGACAAGGCGGCCAGCTTCTGCTCGTCATTCGATCAGGAGTTTGAGAAGAACTGTGCACACAGCTGGGTACGTCAAATCTCGCAATCGCCAGCAGCATACTTCCATGCCCGTGACAGAAACGGCGACTATGGCACTACAGGCTTCTTGGACTACAGATTGGACAAGGAACACACCCGAATACTAGGCTAACATTCTCTAGGTCGAATACTTCAAGAAGCAACGAGTCGTAAACTACCAAAGAGAACAGACGATCAAGAAGATCGAGATGCAAGGTGGAGAAATCACTGCCCCGCAACTACCACTGCCGGGCCAGAACAGATAGATGGAGGATGGCTGAACAGCCCTAATAATGCCGCTCATGACCAATGTACAATATGTATACTACTCTCAAAGCGCTCCCAAAAAGCGTTTGCAGCTATCACGCAGCTCGGCTTCCCTGCCGTTCTAGACTTCTCACACGATGGGGCATAGCACCCACACACTCTCTTTGCACTCAAATGCAAGGCATCGCGTTTACCTTAGACCCTCAGATCAAATGGAAGTGCATGAACCTCCCACCCTCAGCGCGCGGTCCTGTAGCCCGGCCCAAATATCCAACACACTACCTTACTCGAACTGTGACTAGACTCGCATAATGTCGTCACCGGAGCTTGGGAACGCTCACCGATGTAGCCTAGCCATAGAGTGTCGAGCCGCGCCTGTCAAGTGTACTCCTTGCATGATGGGTTCGTCGCATAGACGCAAGGACGAATCGGGGATCAGCGGTGTTTAGCTTGTCAATGCAGGCCTAGGAGTAGGCGCGGGAGTTGTTTCCATGCAGCATCGTAGCGTGAGTTCTGTAGGTCAGGCCGCGTCTTGGCCCTGATGCCAAGGGCGGTGACCTTTTGTTGGTCACCATACCTCCAGGGGCATGTGGCATGTGGCTGCCTGTCGGCAGTTTCCTTTTGCCCGAGTCTTTGTTGCTGACAGCCTGACAGCGGTAACTCTACTGTTGAGGGGGAACATGGAAGTCTTCAACTCTGTTTGGCAACCCCTCATCAGCACGAAAGCCTAATCAGAGTAATCATCGGATTCAACATGCGCATCGGAATCAACTTTCCAGGGCCCGGAATCCTACACGCACCAAAACAGCAAAGTGCAAGGAGCATGACAAATGTCTTGCCGCAAGACAGCATGTTACCCAATATTGTTGATTAATACTGATTGGCTACTAAGACGTGCAGGTTTTAGCCGCAGAATCGAGCGGCAGTAGCAGCAGCGCGCCACCTGGTTCGACTCGTCGGGTCGGCGAGATCTGAGCTTTTTCTCGGTTATCTATGCATACAGAAGACCCCCACCCCACCATTTCCATGACTTCATCCGGGTCAAGTGGCTTATTCTACCCCTCCATCGGGTTGGTGCGTCGCCGAAGGATCCTGCCTCCGTGTGTACGTGTGCGTGTGTGTGTGCGTTTCGGTTCGTGTGCTTTTGTTCGTAGGCTTCGTGATCATGTCCCATGCTACCCAAAAGCTACCCAATGCTGATCCGAAGATTTTGTTACTGAAGTTCGTGTGCTTACATCCTCGATGTCGTCCTAGTGGCACTTGGTCACCACTTTGTCGGCCAAATAGTCGCAGGGTCGAACTCGCGCCTAAAAATCTCCACATCGGACGCGCACCCTTTGCTCGGCGACCCAACCATACTACTGTCGATGGCAAACACGACATCCTGGAATGCGCCATGGAACTCCTCCTCTTCGAAGAGTAGTTTCCTCCACATTCGGGCTACCTCCTGTGCCGGGTTTCGGAATATAGGCCCTAGTCCAAAAGCGCCCAATACCAAGTTCCTGTGCCCGCAGTAGGAAGCGATTCGCAGTACTGCCCGCATTTTCTCCTTCATGAGCTCCTTCTCTTGTGCAAACGAATACTTGCAGCCGCTCTCGTCAAGCTTGGGACGCCGCACGGGTGCAACGGATATTACAGGTAAGGACGCTATGTCTGTGAAAGTTGCATAGTCTTGATCTGGGCCTGCCCGGAAAACAACTGCGGCCCGTTAGTGACTTGTGCCTCGTGACGATCGTTACTAGCATGCCAACGTACAGACTTCAGGGGAGTAGATGCCGCCTGTCTGTGGTATTGGGTAATAGTTTTCTTCTCGGCCCAATTGCGCGTTCCAGGGCATTGTCAGGGCATGCACGAGGTTGCTTCTCCGCGCGAAGCATTCCTCTGGTGCCATGAGCCCAGATTCCCAGTCACCTCCAGCGCGCTTCTCGTTTGCTACGTTGATCACTGGTATCCGCTTGCACTCTGGGTCTGCGTTGACAGCACTTTGGTACCAGCCCAAAGCGTAGTTCACGGGGTCGCCTTCCATGACTGCTACTCTCGTGCGTTGTGATGATCGCTTGTCCACGTTGATCCTTATTTGCGAGGAGTCTGGGTACAGGTATGAGGTTTTGGAGTCTCGGATGTAATGCTTCCAGATATGCGGCATCCATACGCGTTTTGCTTCGGCTGCTATTTCTGACGGCTTTGGTCTTGATGGCGGCATGGTAGTAAAGTACTGTGAGGGGGTTCCTGTGGACTGCTTGTGTGAATGGACGTATGATGAAGGTGTAGTTGACTGCAGTGTGGAACAGCGTGAGAGGAACGAGGGTTGACAGTAACGAAAGCGAGTCTGTGACCCAACGGGCGAGAGGGTAGTATATCACTTGAGCAGCTACTCAAGGGCGTGTGATAACGCAGCTAAATAATGGTTCCAGATGGACCCCGGAGACTAAGCTGGCGTATTTCCACTGCGCCAGCTACCAAAACGGTAGTCCACTGCGGGAATCAAGCCTTCCCCTGTGCATGCAGTCATCGCGGGTAGCATCTACACCAGCCGTAGCGCAGACCTGCAGGAAAGATGGAGCCATGAGTCGTGTGCCCGAGCAGTCTAGGGAAGACACAGATGTCGAATGGCCGGTAGCAGCCGCGCCTTGTGATTGCAAAAGTTCATCCTGGTCCTGGGGGCCATGCCGTGCACCCACATAGCTGCCAGGCACCTTAAGCCACCAAGTGCCGTGTCGGGTTCCTAGTGTGTTGGAGCAGGGATGTGTGGCTGGATCGATCGTCCAGGCCTTGAAGCGATCTGCAAATAGTTAAAAGCGGTTTAGAAAGATCTGGCGGCGTTGAGCAAGCCGATGATGACAGCTGCTAACCAAGATCCTGCACGATATAGCGTCGCAGTAATAGCGTCGGCACTAAGATCCGGATGCAGGGTAATGGTACTCTGCTGGAATGCATGGCGTTCTACGAGGCGTCTTCCTCACCGCCAGCGGAGGTGGCACGAAAACGTCCATCTAGCGAGCATTTCCGCCACTTTGATGACGGGTCCTTGCCTGGAAGTATCCTGGCAGACGGTAAAGGTTGTACAAACGGCCATCGAGCTTGGTGGGGCGTGGCGTTTGTGTCTTGGTGTGCTTACTGGCGGTGGAGGGGAGGAGGAAGCTGACCCACCCAATGATGGTCAAGGGAACGACCAAGAAGGTCACCAAGACCACAGGCTCCTAAGGCCATCGGCGCTATGCTCATGGGCCTCAAATCTCGTGAAAGGACATGGTCGGTCCTTGCAGCACATGATGTTTCAGCCATGGCTGAAGTGTTACAGTCGAGATCAACGAGCCACAGGAACGGCACGGGCGAGGCCTTCGCGATCCTAGCGTGGGGTCCAAGCGTTCTTCGTTTTTTTCCCAAGGTTTCGCAGACATCAACCCGCACGTGTGATAGAGAGTGCTGTTTCTACGCTACACTGCGCAGCTCCTGGCCGATCGAAATTTGCCGACGCGTAAATGAATTGGCTCCTGCCTGTTCGGAGGAGCGTTGTCCGTCCCCAGCACCTATTCCGAAACCGGGGAACCGCTCTACCTTGCGCACATGCACTATCACTATGCCGTCCCCGCTGCAGTTCCACCTTCTGTCCAAACACTATTGCTGAGCTGCTAAGGCCAACTCAATCGGCCAGTTCGTCTCAGCAGAGTGCACAGGACAACGAGGCACTAACGATAAACGGCTATGTACGGACGGTGCGCAAGCAAAAACGCATCGCATTCGCTGCTATAGGCGACGGCTCGACTTTGCAAACAGTCCAGGCCGTCCTGCCTCCTCAACTAGCAGAAGGGTCAGTAGCTCCCTTTAGAACACTCTGTAAGTACTGACATGCTGTACTATCAGACTCTCCACGGGCACTGCAGTGACAGTCACGGGAAAGTGGACACCCTCACCAGGCCAAGGCCAATCCCATGAACTTCAAGTCAACCACGTGCGAATATTGGGAGAGAATGATGCCACAGTAAGTCAACATGAGTGAGCCTCGGAGTCCTGCCCGATGTCTGATCTGAATCTTAATTCCAGACCTACCCAATCCAGAAGAAATACCAAACACCCGAATTTTTGCGCACACTCCCACATCTCCGAAGTCGACTACCAATTAACTCGCTTCTCTTGCGGCTGAGATCGCTAGTCACTGCACAAGTGACCAACTACTTTGCGGAACATGACTTCATTCAGTGCCATCCACCAATCATCACCTCCTCCGATTGCGAGGGCGCAGGAGAGGTGTTCACTGTGGCGCCTGGAGCACCTTCTTCAGCAGACAAAAGCTCTTCGAATCAGGTCAAAAAGCAAGAAGACATGTTTTTCGGTTCCCCCAAGTATCTGACGGTCTCCAGTCAGCTTCACCTAGAGGCTTTAGCTCAGTCAGTAAACAAGGTCTGGGCCTTGTCTCCAACATTCCGAGCCGAGAAGAGTGATACAGCCCGTCATCTTAGCGAGTTCTACATGCTGGAAGCAGAATTAGCTTTCACAGAGGATGTGAATGTCGTCATGGATGTTGTGGAAAATATGCTGCGTTCCGTTGCGTTGAAATTACAAGAGTCGGTTGTAGGTCAAGAACTTCTCGAGGCACGAGCACGAGACCAGGACCAAGAGAGCACATCCGTGTCGCACACTGTCCTCGCACAACGGTGGCAAGGGCTGGTAGCGGGGCCATGGCCTCGAACCACCTATGCGGCCGCAATACAGCACCTTAAAGACGCAGTGGCTCAGGGCAAGGCGGATTTTGAGTATGCACCTGGTCATGAAGATGGTCTCCAGACCGAGCACGAACGATTCTTGGCTGAGAGCTTGGGACGCGGTGGACCCGTATTCATCACTGATTATCCACGTAACATCAAGCCTTTTTACATGGCGCCGTCAAATGACCCGACAGCTGACAACCCGGCCACCTCGACCGTCGCATGCTTCGATCTCCTTGTACCTGAGATCTGTGAACTGGTCGGGGGCTCTATGCGTGAACATCGACTAGCAGAACTCTTGCAATCCATGGACGAACATGGTCTTCAACAAGCGCCGGATAGCACTACCGACGCATCAGACGGCTCCCTGCAGTGGTATGTGGATCTCCGCCGATACGGCAGTGTACCGCATGGAGGCTTTGGTCTAGGGTTCGATCGACTCCTGTGCTACCTCGCTGGTGTATCTAACATCAGGGACGTAGTCAGCTTTCCCCGGTGGTACAAGCGGTGCGAGTGTTGATGCGCAAACAAGATATAAGGACCTCCGGTATCCCGGATCACGGCATCGCCAGCTGGTCACGGACGTGGCATCTCGTAACGTGGCATGGCAGAGGGGCTGGATAGCATTGCTTGTTGCAGCACATGAAGACCGCGCGTTCATTGTACTTGTACGATCAGCTGCCGGCTGTACGATAGCTGCTCATTCTGCTCGAATCTGCATGGGATAGCCTCGGACCAAGGCACCGTGAGCTATCTACGAGAAATAGCTCCGGGTGTCCAAACTTCCGTGTGTAGACTTGCCCTATTATTCAGCTTGCGAGGCGGAGTGGAGACGAAAGTTCGCTGGTTGTCCATTTGTTATCAAACACTGTGCTCAGTGCACCTAGCGAGCTTTGCAGGTGAAGCTCGGGCATGCACTGTGCAAACCATCCCAAGATCGGACATTATTCAGCATGCGAGTCTGGATGCGCTAATCGAGACTTGCCGACTTTGCGGGGTATCGTGAGCAAATTCAAGCTTTGCGAACAACGTGTAGACGAGTGGCAGCGGACCAGACGTGTGTGGCGGGCTCGAGGTGCGGGCGGAGATGATCAGATAAGATATACCAAGCACCTTCCCCCTCCCACATCCGAGGCACCTTGGCCGAGTCTAGCTATCGCGTTGATGATGTACTTGATCTCCGCGGGCACCTGTCACCGATTTACGGGGCATTTGGGTAGGGCGTCGCGAAAATGCGCCGTCCGCCATGGCAAACAGCCTCAGGATGAAAACTTCGCTGGCAGACGAAGTGGCATGCGCATGCGCAGGTTTGCCATGGAAGCTCCGGCATCGCTGGTGGAGGCATGGGTACGTAAAGGGCAGATAGCAGCGACTCAGCGAGAGTACCTAGTCGCGGGCGGAATTTAGGTCTGACGTCTCGGCGTTCGGCTGAAGTCATCTCGCGCTTCCGTTAGTTGCAAACAAAAGTAACAACTTCAATTTCAGACCATTGCCCACTCACCACAGTCGCCCCTCTGCATCGACGCGCGGAGGCTCTACGTCCACCCCAAAAACAAAAACCCTCTCAAGTCGCAAAGCTGGAATCCGCGGCGCCAGTAGCCGGCCGACTTATGGCCCCCAATGATCGGCCATCAGTTCCTATCGAAGAAGAACACGAGTACAGCTCCATTGCACCGCCGCACATGAGAGACACCCGTCGCTGACTTGCGCGCCAGTTATGAAGCGCTCCCGCCCAACTTCTCCCTCACCGCCAACATGCTTGCGGGCGCATTCGCAGGTGTTGCGGTACGTCTCCGAGGTCGCCGCCGTGTATATATCCCGACTGACCCGACGATAGGAACACTCGGTGATGTACCCCGTCGACTTGCTCAAGGTACGCAGCTTCCCGCCAAGCTCTCCATGCACTGCCGACAGCGCGCTGACTCCGGACAGACCCGCATGCAGATCGTCAACCCGTCGCCGAGCGCCATGTACAGCGGTATCTCGAACGCCATGGTCACTATATCTAGGGCGGAGGGCTTCTGGTCACTGTGGAGGGGACTGTCGAGCGTGGTAATGGGCGCAGGTGGGTAGTGTCAGACAAGCAAGACCGGCAAGGAGAACTGACACAATGCAGGTCCCGCGCATGCCGTCTATTTTGCATCCTACGAAGCTACAAAGCACGCCCTCGGTGGCAATGAGGGAGAGAGCCACGAACACCATCCCCTCGCGGCAGGTGCGCAATACCACGACTACAAATGCGGGAGCAGCTACTGACCATCAACAGCTGCTAGCGGTGCCGCGGCCACCATCTCCAGTGATGCGCTGATGAATCCCTTTGACGGTAAGACGCGCACCACGACCTCGCTCCGCGCCTACTGAATCTCGCAGTCATAAAACAACGCATGCAAATGCACGGTTCCGTCTACAAGTCCGTCCCTCAATGCGCCCGAGAGGTTCTCCGCACTGAGGGCGTGGGCGCATTCTACGTCTCATACCCCACTACACTGTGTATGACGGTGCCGTTCACCGCACTCCAATTCATGGCCTACGAATCGATGTCCAAGGTCATGAACCCGACCGGCCGCTACGACCCCTATACGCACTGCTTCGCCGGAGGTATCGCCGGAGGATTTGCAGCGGGGCTCACAACTCCCCTCGATGTCATCAAGACGCTATTACAAACACGCGGCAATGCTCGAGACGCAGAATTGAAGAATGTCTCCGGCCTAATCCAGGCAGCTAAGATCATCCATCAAAGGGAAGGATACAGGGGATACTTCCGTGGTCTGAAACCTCGAATCATCACCACCATGCCAAGCACGGCAATTTGCTGGTAAGTTTTGAGCTTGGACACCGCAACCAGTATTGATCTGACATTGCATAGGTCCGCATACGAGATGGCCAAGGCTTTCTTCATTCGGAGGAGCACCAACTCATCCACGGCCATATAACAGAGAGACGACTATTTGACTGATCTTTTTTTGAACCATTACGAGAGCCCTCTGATTCCGCGATATGCGCATTACCCACGGAACGATATACACGCAGTGTCGCGGAGAGTAGCGACCATGGCAGTATTGGGCATCCAAGGCAAGGTCTAGCATTGTATGGCGCGCTGGAGGAGCATAGGGCTGCGTCGCGACGCTTCTTCACTGCCATTGTATAGTCATAGAGGCTTTTGTGGAAGCCGATCTGGCGGCGTACTGGATGCTTGGTTATGCGAGCACACGACGGCATGCGCATTCTTGTATCATATAGCAAATTCAGTGTCGGCGTCACTCAGGACCCAAGAACATTTTCGCTCCTCAGCCCAAACAAGGTGCGTAATCGATAACAGCCCGGCGCGAATGGCAGCCCCACTTGCACATGCGCCTTCCTCGTGGCTGTGTGAGCACGCGTATCCTGGGTTGACAGTATTACCTTGTGATCTGATGTAATAGCGCGCGAGAGAGCGTGCCCAGTTGCGTAGAGGATGTATGGATGCGTGAGGACAAAGTCGTCTTCCATGGTTGTCGCTGCTCAGCCTTCGCGGTTGCGAAACGCAGCTACCTACGTCACACACCCGCGCGAACTAAGACCGGCGACGAATCTACAAACACGAGCCCGAGACTGGACGCGAGACACCTATTCCGTCCTCCACGCCACCCCCCGCGTGAATTGGGCGCATCATATACATGTTTTCCGCTATGCGCGCCAACACGACGCAGAAAGCCTACGACGAGGCTTTCCTAGCCTGCTCGACTGCAGTCTACTTTGAGGGCCAGGTCAGTGCCCAGCCACCCACCAAGTGTCGCATGTGCCCAGCATCACTGACAGAGAGACATATAGAACAACGAGAAAGAAGCGCTGCGATCATGGAAAACCGCTCTTGACCACATCTACTATCACAACGCCCGTCGCAACCCCTCGACCTACCGCCCCGCGTCCGAAACAGAGAGGGCACTGATCGAATCGCTACGCCAGTTGGAGCTGCAATGTAAAGAGCGCGTGGATCTGTTGGAGGCGCTGAAAAAGAGTCGCAAGGAGTCGAAAGAGAGCCTTGCCTCGCTCTCGTCAGACAACGATGCACCCACACCACCACCCCACGGCGTGCCCCTATCGCAAAACGATCCAAGCGCATCTACATCATGGCTCGGAGCCGGATCTATACCACCCATAGAGTACACAGATCTCTCAAGACCGCCAGCATTGCCATACCGTCCGGCGATGGCGCCACGGAAGAGCTCCGGTACTGGCTCCATACGGGACAACACCTTGACCCAGACTCGGAGCGCATCGACGCTATCCCCAGGACCAGTGGGAGATAAAAAGACACGGACACCATCCCCAGAGAAGGGTGGCAGAATGCTGCGGACACTGAGACCTGGGAGAGAGAGCAAGCCATCTTCGGCGAAGTTGCCCAACACGTTGAGAAGTCGCCCGGATGCTTCAAAAGCGGCTACCCAAGCGTGGAGTGTCAAAGCCACGGCATCCTCAACTCGACCAACATTGGGGGCTCCGAACCCATCGACCAGTTCTCTTACACCCTCCGCCCGCTCGTCCCTCGACAAGCCGGCTGCTGAGAGACCGAGTGCTTATTTTCCGAAACCCGAAGCACAACCGCCGCCTGCACAAGCACCGTTCTACTTTAGAGCTGGCGAGGGGTCAGCATCAACCGCATATGCGGTTCCACCACCTGGTGGTGAGACTGATTCGGGGCCGGTCAAACCTGCTACACAGGAGCGAACAGCGCCAGCAATACCCCGAAAGTCTGTGGGTTTGAGTCGAATGAACAACGCGCAAGGACCTAGTACAGCATTACCATCGTACCGAAAGGAGTATCCCAAGCCCACGCCTGACCCTCGATCTCTTGCCGCGTCTGCTGCAGCCCATTCCTACGGCGACACTGGGGGCGAGCGAGGTGGAGTGATGTGGGATCCGACGACAAGGAGACTTGTACCGAAGCCCAAGAGCAACGACACACAAGCGCGAAGCAGTTCAGAGCAGGAGGACTCACCTGAGTCTATATCACTGGAAGAGGACGGAGATTTGCTCAAGCAGAGGCCACCTCCAGTGCGCAAGGGCAGGGCTAGAGGCAATTCGATGCGTGCAGAACTACCAGATACCCCAGGCGCGGATAGTTCTGAGGCGGAACTGGAGCCAGAAGAGACGGATGAATGGAAGCGCAAAACGGATGAGATCATGAAGAACTTGCCGCGGGGCGTCGATAAGCAAGCAGCACAGCAGATATTAAACGAGATCGTGATACAGGGCGATGAGGTACACTGGAGCGACGTATCAGGGCTTGAAGTTGCGAAATCCGCCCTGAAAGAGACGGTAGTGTACCCGTTCTTGAGGCCTGACTTGTTTATGGGTCTGCGAGAACCTGCACGCGGCATGCTCTTGTTCGGACCCCCTGGAACTGGAAAGACGATGTTGGCCAGGGCAGTTGCTACAGAGTCAAAGTCTACTTTCTTCGCTATTTCAGCTAGTAGTCTGACGTCGAAGTTTCTGGGCGAGTCAGAAAAGCTTGTTCGCGCCCTTTTCCAGCTTGCAAAGATGCTGGCGCCATCAATCATCTTCGTCGACGAGATCGACTCACTCCTCTCGTCGCGTTCGGGATCCGGCGAGCACGAAGCATCGCGACGCATCAAAACTGAGTTCCTTATTCAGTGGTCCGATCTGCAAAAGGCAGCTGCCGGGAGCGCGGTCACGGACAAGGACAAAGAGAGGGGTGATGCAACCAGGGTTCTCGTTCTCGCAGCAACGAATCTGCCGTGGGCGATCGATGAAGCAGCAAGAAGGAGATTTGTAAGAAGGCAATATATTCCACTGCCTGAAGATTGGGTCCGGAAGCAACAGGTTCAAACGCTACTGAGCCACCAGAAACATGAGTTGAGTGACCGCGATCTGGATCGTTTGGTCAAGCTCACTGAGGGTATATTATGATCATCGAAGACCCGAATCGCAATGCTAATCTCTTTCTAGGTTTCTCTGGTTCCGATATAACGGCGCTCGCGAAAGACGCTGCAATGGGCCCTTTGCGCTCGCTGGGTGAGAAGCTACTTTCCATGACGATGGATCAGATACGACCGATACAATATCAGGACTTTGTAGCTAGTCTGCAGACTATCAGACCGTCTGTAAGCAAGCAAGGACTGAAGGAATTTGAGGATTGGGCTACACAGTTTGGTGAACGTGGAGGCTGAAGTACTAATTAACGGGCTGGCACTGCGCCTGCAGTAACGAATCAAGTATTTACATGAGTATGTGTATGGTCACAGTCTCAATTCCATTTGCTTCAGTTCCCCTTAGCATGCTCACCCCACCTGCCTGGGTCGAGGATGGCTCCTTCCGTCTGGAGTGTGCCCGTGACTTAGCGCCATCCCAACACAGGCGCATCTCACATCCAGCGACGCGTTTTTCTTCCTTCAATCTATCTTACCATCGCTACCGGAGCAGAAAATGGCACCTCGCAAGAAAACAGAAGAGAAGGCCACAGCCAACGAGGCCGCAGATCTGGTGTTGGAGTATCTACGTGAGTCACTCACCTCACCTCACATCTGAGAGCTCAACGGTCGCACCGCACCCTGTACTCAAAGACTAATCGGTCGCAGGCAAGCAAAACCGCCCATACTCGGCTATCGATGTTTCGGCGAATCTACACAACAAGGTCACAAAAGGTTCGTTGACCTTCCACTCTTGTCCGACAACGACTGATTCAGGGCAGCGTCTGCGGCAAAGATTCTGAAAGATCTCCACGAACAGAAAGCAATTGAGGGGCGTGCCGCTGGTGAGCTTGGTCTCGCCTATCTGCAATCCATATCAATTGACAATCTCAGGCAAGCAAATCGTCTATCACGCTTTACAGGTATGACTCAATCCTTTCTATTACCCAGCATCTGCTCAGATCTGACCCACTTGTAGAACGCAGCCGAAGCATGCACCACTGAACAACTCGCCGCTCTCGACAAAACCATTCTCGATCTCCGCACGCAAACCACTACTCTTATCGCAGCCGCAAAGAATCTCCGTGGCTCCTTGTCCAGTCTCAACTCCACGCTCAGCACGGCAGATCTTGTCGCCAATGTCAACACTCTCGAGACGGAAAAAGATCAGATCGAGTCTAGACTTGATGGACTGAAGAAGGGAAAAGCGAAGAAGGTAGGTTCAATGTACTCAGAGTGATTTATGCGTGTTTGTGCTAACTCTGCAAGGTCACGACATCCGAGCGAGAAGCGATTGAGAAGGAATGGAAGAAGAGCATTCGTGTGGCAAAGAAGAGGCAGAAGATTGTGACGGAGATGTGGAAAGAGATCAAGGAGAATTTTCCTGATCCGCAAGAGAGAGAGGACCAGAGGGAGATGTTCGACCTCGATGGATGAGGGTCTGCTGCGCTGTCAGAGTGGCGTGAATGATGCTTAGGTACCATGTGCTGGCGATGTTGTACGATATTAGATGTGAGCATACCAGGACGATGTAGTGAAGTCAGATAGTTCAGGCTCAAGACACGAACTGCTTGAAGACATACAAAAGTGTATAAAACTTGCGTATATATCATTCACATCGTGCTTTGAATGTAGCTAAAAAGCCTCCAACGCCACTCTGGCAAACCCGCAATGATGCGAACCAAACAACGAACAAGAGATGAGAGGTTAGATCCCAACGGCAGACAAGCGCCTTTACAATGCAGTGCAGACACCAATACACGAAGCACGAAACATAGCCTGCCAGGCCAGCTGGCGAGCCAACAGAGCTACCAAGACTGCGCAAACAACATCCCAATGCAACGTGACAGAACGCAAACAGCATTAAGGTGCAGGTAATTCAATGACTCAAGAGCGCTGGTAAGAGAACGAGCTACGGAGGTCATCTCTGATCTCCTGCGATAAATTATCATCGGCGTCGATGTGGCTGGGATCCTGAGCACGCGCCAATTCTTCGAGGGTTTTGGCGAGGGCGGCGCCTTCGGTGCGGCCGCGGTCCACGTCGACGAGCATCATGATGGGGAAGGGGAGGCCGACTAAGATGGCTAGGAACCAGAAAGCCTTTAGTTGAAATTAGTATGAGGGATGAAACTCAGAAGTGTTGAGCCGACTTACCGGTCTAATCTCGCCATAAGCATCGGTGATGGCGCCTACGATAGCGGGACCGAAGACACTGCTGCCTTTGTCCGTAATGGCGTATAAAGCGTAGAAGGCGGCTTCGTAGCCAGGAGGGATGAGCTCACCGAATAGCGCACGGCAGTAACTGCTGAGACCACCAAGGACGAAGCCGTAGACTGCACCTAGAGGGTACATCTCCCACTGCTGCTGCAAACCCAGGTATCCTAACCGCTGGACCGCGGGTATATATCCTAGAAGACCATAGATCGGAATTACTTCAAAGAGCATGATGCAGAGTAGGATTGTTTGTGTTGGCGACAGGCGGAAGAAAGCAGACAGCCGTGACCACAGAAAGGCGCCCAGAACGCCGAAGACTGTTGCGATGACGTTTATTAGGGCAAGCATGGCGTACGACATGCCTAGCGTTGTCTTTGCGAAGAGCACTGCTGTACCGGATACAGTGGCAATGCTGTCCGAAAGTAGGAACCACGCTGCGAGGAAGAGTAGTACATCCTTGAGATGTCGCGCGTGGGTCGCTGTACGGCCAAGGGATTTCCACGAGTATGCAAAGTACGCGAGGGCAGTGCCAACATTGGAGGTTTGCGCACCGATATGCAGAGGCGGTCCTGGACGGGGACGCAGCCAGCGCGCTGTCGGTAGTGTGAAGACAAACCACCACGCGCCGATGACGAAGAGGACCAGGCGGAGACCAAAGTTGGAGGATTGGAACGCGATGACGATGAGAATACCGATAGTCTGCACAAGCAAAGCAGCAATGTAACCGATCGCGATACCGTAGGATGAGATCTTGGTTGCAAGAGCGAGTTCCACTGAAGGAGCGGACCTGCTTCTTGCCCTCGGGATGGTCAGATCGGCGGCTGAAAGGTTACTCGGCAACAGTGCGGTTGTCGCATCAGCGACTTCGTCAAGGAGGCCTTCTCTTTGTCCAAGCTGGTTTGCGTATTGCGCTCCTCGTATAATATTCTCCTGCGTTGGAGTTTCACCTCCTCTCTCGTCGTCTTCTTCTGTCTCCGCCTCGTCTTCCTCGTCTGCGTACGATTCGTCGGCGATGGAGTCGGCGTACTTGACTGTAGGGTGGAAGCGCACCATGAGCGGTAGGAAGCTGTTCAATAGTACGAAACTGGCACCAAAGCATGTGTTTGAAATGATTGCCAGCACTGCGCCCAGCAGGTACACCTTGGGTACCACTGGTAGGAAAAGCATGGTCGCGATGCTTCCAATAAATGCGAACCACAAGAGGAAGGTCTTCCTGAACCTCCCATGATCCGCTGCGCCGCTCATACTAATGATCAGCAGAGCTTGTATGAGGACGGATATGCTGAAAGTGTACATGGCGAAGCTCGCAGTATTGATCTCGATACCGAGGATATGAACGACGCATTGTCCCTTTTCAGGATTCGGTTTGAACAGAGCTTCTACGGCGTTGGTGGAGAATGATGGGCCTGGATGGACGGTAGGCTTCGTGGCTTTGCACGGTGTGGACGGATCGGATAATAGGACGCCATTCTCGCGCGCGAGTTGCTCGAGTGTTACAGGTATGAAAGACCCAATACCGCAAACCACAAAGACCTGGGGTGGTTAGTGTTGGTGCTCGCGTAGTTTGTAAGCTTGACGAGGCGCGTCAGAAGCAGCATCACGAGAGAGACACGCGCACAGCTTTGCGATGTTGAAGCAAGCTTGCAAAGGCCTGAAGCAGATTGGACGGTAGTAGGAAGGAAGGATGAAGTACCTCGGCAGCCCATCCATACATGTAAAAGCCGCGGAGCTCCTTGTCGCTGGTCAACCGGGTGTCTTCGCCCTCGTAGTGGGGCTGCGAGTCGTGGGACTCCATGTCGAGGCTCTGATCGGAAGAGAGGCTCTGCTCATCGTCTGCCTCGTTGGACTGCGATATGGACGGCACCGAGACTTTGGACTGTGAGGATGCATTGCGCGCAATGGTCGGGCGCTCATAGGGCGGGAGCTCGGGCGCGCGAGGTGACATCGAGCGATTGGAAGCAGTCGTCCGCAAAACAGGGTCCTGCGCTAATCAACGGAAATGCGTCACCGCAACTGAGACATGATGAAGGATCGAGGGATAAATGCGACAGCTGACCGGGCTGCTATTCAGGTCGGAGGGCAACTTCTAGTGGGCACGCTGAGGTCAGGCCCAAGCTGGGGAGAGATGTGGAGTTGTTGGGGTGGCAGCGGATGATCCCATGGGCATGACCTGTGAACATCTGATAAAGCGTCTACTTGCAGTAGAGGCTTATCCGAGAAAGACATTGGACAAGGCGCTTGCGCTCAAGCTCGCATCTAGATAGACTACTGGCCGCCGCAGCCGCAAGCTCGCCGAGCCGCGGACAGCAATGCGGTGAATGACTGAACGTACTAGCGATTAAAGTGGCTAGCTATATCGCATCCGCGCGACGAGACATGCAGTGTCGTTGACGCACATTATAGACAAGCTGGGCCCTCAAGCTTGACTCGGTTGCTGATGCGACTTCAGAGTGTCTGGCTGGAGATGCAGGGCTCCATCATCAGCGTGCATGGGTGGAGCGAACGCCAAGGCGCTAAACCCAATCCACGCCCTCCCTCCCGTCGTCGGTACGAGAGGCTGCTGATGTTTCAACGACCTCATCGCTGCAACCACTCCACCCGCCCACGTCGCGCGCACCCCATCCACGGCCACTCCGGACTAATTCCCACCGCTCTACGACCGCGACTGTCATCACGACGTTTTGTAGCATTCACAGTCGACGATGCGCTAGTCGGCAGCGCCCCGACCTCGCTTTCTTTCACCTGCTGCATTCGACCAGCGCCCTTTCAACACTCACTGCGCCTCGTGCTATCTCGGCGCTTCCATTCTTACGCCAAAGCATCTGCTTTAATGAGCGCGCCTCACTCCTAACCTGCGCATTTCACCGCCGACTCCACCGCCAGCCCTCTGCACGCAGCCTCGATCACGATTCAAACACCGCGCGGTTGACATTCTCGCGAAAACATCAAGGAAAAAGCGCGACCACACACTTCAAGAAAGTTATAGACGCGCGCAAAACGGGTGCGCAGACGGCGCCCCAGGCCGCGGGACGGAGGACGGCGTAGTATGCCAGGCATTCTCACCATGAACCACACCGGGTCCGACTCAGCGACGGCTTCACGAGATGCAGAAAACAGGAAGCGCAGCCACAACGGGGATCTGACCAATGGCGGACTCAATGGCGGGCGAAGTGACACGCCGGCAGGGGGTCCTGCTGTTAATGGGGGTCCTTCGCGCGAAACCAGCACCAACGGCGCATCCATGGCAGTCGCAGCAACGGCGGGTCCCACGCTGGAACAATACTCGGATCTGCCCCCGGAGATCGCTCATATTGGCCCCGAGCAGTACATGTCCTTGTCGACACTCTTGTTGCGAATATCCCAGGAATCTTACAATGAGTTGGAGGAAGTCTTGAAGAACATGGCCGCCATTCAGATAGCGCCAGTGTCCAATGGCGCTCTTCCCAACGGCCTTGGCGCGGCGAATGCACAAGTGAATGCAGAGGCGAACAAGCGTAAAAAGCTGGTTGTGCTTCAATTCGCGCAGGAGCAACGGGCTAAATTCATCAAGCTGCTAGTCCTCACCGAGTGGGGAAAGAAAGCTTCCGTTGACATATCAAAGCTCATTGATTTGCTGGCCCACGCGAGTACACAGGCAGCCCATATGGATGCTGCTGACTACAAATTGGAAAAGATTAAGATTCTGTCCAACAATGCCAGAGAAAACAACCCGGACGTTGCGACCGCCCTGGAAGTGCTATCGACAGGGAAAGCGTCATGGATGCCGAGCCTGGGCTACATACCGCCTGAGCCTATCTCTGCCGAGCAGGCCCTCAAACTCCTTCGGTACATGAACACCTCTCTCTCCATACGCCTCAACGTACACGAAAGCCTCCCACGACACCTCCAAGACTGGCGTGTGCATTCAGGACGCGCAACTTTTGTTGTTGCTAATGAGCTGGAATTCGACGTCATGTCTTTTGTAGAGGATGCTTCAGAACAGTGGTTTCTCATCGATCTCCGGTTGTTGTTCACTCCTGCACCTACCATTACCGTCGGTAGCCGTTTCTTCATGCAACTCAAGCTGCAGGCCGACGTAGTTCTAAAGGAGAAGGGTCTGACCGGCCTTTTCGACTTCCTGAACAACTTCGTCCTAACGCACAAGATCTCAGTGCTTCGATCGCAGGCCGTAAATCTCGTTCGCAGCGGCTGGGCAGGATCTCTCAAGGTTGAGCCTGTGCATCGCTTGCTCGTCGTGTCTTATTGGACTGATAAGCCTGGAAAAAAGAATTGGATTGAGATTGGCGTATCGAACAACAAACCAAAGAACGGCAAGGTTTCGTGGAGAGGGCCTCCCATACCGTCGCTGACTACGCGCTGGTTCCGCCAAGGCAAAGAAGTGAAAGATGTCAAGTTCCATTTTGACTGGAAGGATCTCTCCATGGAACGCGTTATCAAGCAAGTCATCGCACGCCACACGAGTGATATCTTGCGATCCACAAAGGAGAGTTTCAAGTCTGGAGTGACGGCGAACGCACATCTTTCCGAGACCGAACCTGCCGACTCTACACTCAACGCATCGCTGGGTACGAAATCTACATCAATTGCCCTATCACTAGAGTCGGTCACTGGTAACTACATTCTGCGACCAGCTAGCGCACTATCAGCGCGAGCCGAGAATGCTTTCAACCAAGGCAGAGAGCCATCACAGATTGCTCATGTAATGACGCAAGTGCTAGCCGGCACATTGCTCAGTCTGATCCAGAAGAACGCACAACAACTCGGGTGGCAATCGGTCGCAAGACAGGCTTTGAAGCAGCAGGTAGTGTCGGCTGCTGTCAAATTGGATGTCATCTCTTCCACGCTATATTGCCCTCGCGGTTGGACACCAAACTGGGCATTGGCAGCGGTAATCGACTCTTCAGGCGAATCGTGGTGGATCTTTGAAATCGGATCTGGTGGAAATAGCCTCGAATACGCCGAGCAGATCAAGTTGGACAGACCTGATGGAAGCTCCTTGCCCATCAACCGCAACACCTTGGCAAGTCTGGAGAGGGTCGCTGTGCAGCTTCTGTCGTTCCGCGTCACAGCTCGCCAACTAGAGAAGGAGAAGAAGAATTTCAGTTTGCGACCTGAGTTAGGGCAAGCAGGCTCATTCGTGGAAGCTGGCTGTGTTCCCCGTCGATGGGTGCTGCATGTGCAAACTCCGGATCTTCTTGTGCCCCAAGCAGACGAAGACTCATGGCTTGAATCAGACATCAAGATTACATGTGAAGGCTTGAAAGTTGGGGTTCAGGACGTCTGGCATATGGCTGTCGGTAAAATGGTCAAGTCTGTTGCTGCAGACATGCATAAGCTCATGGCAGCTTCACCACAGACCGCCTTCAAGTTCTCAGAAGACGGCAACTTCAGGATTCTCCTTGCCACGCCCTTTGGGCAAGATATCCTAGGAGAGCTGCGAGCACGACTGCGAGATGTTAACCGTCTTCGTACCTTTGCCAGTACCCTTCAGAAGCGTCAAATGCGGCTTTCGTCTTCCTCCTTACAGCGCGTACAGTTCCAGTATGGTCCATCGCCATACTCTGCGACTGTTAACTTTGGCACTGAAAAGGAGCTTACCATCGAGCTGTCACATGACAATCCGCACCATCGGATTCTCCATCTGCTTACTGAGATCGCCAACGATCGGCTGCCTTCCTTCCCAACCACGGAGGTCAGCGATGTCGATGGCCTGGATCGCTTCTGTACGACTCTCGTCGCGACCCGGCCCCTCTTCAAGGCCCTGCGCGAAGTCGAGGAACGATCGCCAGGCAACTACAGTAACCCCGCAATTCATGTTCACTCCGTCCTCAAATACCGACTCACCTATGACAATCCGGTCTGCACTTTCGACGTGCGCCTTCAGCCCAAAGATGACCAGGTGTACTGGTTCGTCGAAGACAACTTGCGTCCAAAGGATCCTCCAAATCAAGCCACAAATCTACCAACTCCCGAGCGTGCGTCTGGTCATAGGCGTCTCGACAGCCTACAGGCCAAGCTGAAGGAACTCTTCAGTGGGAAGGGCCCAGGATGGTTTGGTACCCGAACCGGCATGGTGGCGGCCTTGGACGCGGTCCCTGAAGCACTACTCAAGCTGGACGAGTGTGTTTTGAGTTGTAAAATGGCAGGAGGTTATGTTGCACCGCCACCACTTGAAAAGCCCCCGCAACAAGCGCAGAACCAGGGATCTGGTCCAGGACAGGCGCCTGCACAGGCGAACGGAAACCAGCAGGGAAACCAGCAGCAGCAGGCTAGGATGCAACAACAGCAGCAGCAAGCGCGCCAGCAGCAGCAAAGACAGGCTCAGGCCCAGGCTGGGAAGCAGCACCCGAACATGCAGCAACATCCGAGAAGCCAACCTCCGAACGGCAGACCCTCACAGCAGCAGATGCCAAACGGCCGCCAGCAACAACAGCAAGGTAGAGGCGGTCCAGGAGGTCGTCCGGGGCAGTCCAAAAACGACGTCATCACCATTGATTAGAAGACCTTGGGATGAGACCAGCATACCAGCTGTAATTGCGTTCATTCCATTCACGATTTGTGTACAATGTTTTCTTTGCACGTTCTTCACGTTTTTCTAGCATTGGGTTAGCGGGACTACGGTATAATTTGCGCTTTCAACAGGTTCTGCTGTCTTGCGGTTCACGGTGGGGTTTCCCACCGGATTGTGTATTCTATCTGACATGGACGCGAGGTCGGCTTTATCGGCGGTCGATTTGGGCCCGCGCTTTTCTTCTTTTGCTTCGTAGCTTGTATGATCCTTCTTTTTATACCATGGTGGGAACTTGCGACGAGGGTAGACATGAACACTATCACGCCATGGCTAGATGTGAGGCTGGCGATCTACCGATATAGATATCAAATGCATAGATGCTACCACAGATGTATCATATTCAAGCTGGAAAACTCGGATGCACCGCAAAAACATGACCATGACGTGCTTGTTGACCCAGGCCGCGAACTCTATATCAAGAACCTGTTGGCTCGACCGGGTACTGCTGCACAACACCCTGACACCTCGCGAAAACTTCACCCTTCATTAAGTCTTCGCCCTGCATATTTCCATACCTCTTTAGTTCCGGGCTCACGATCAATTTGAGTGGCCTTTCATCGGGATGTGGCGACGACAGCAGGTCGCCGCTTCCTGGTGGTAGGATCATCATTACTCTGTATGGTTGCGAGCAGAGTTCCATCCATGTCTTCGCGCAGAGGCGTATAAGAGTCTCTAACGCCTCGGCGTCCTTCGTTTCGAGAACAGCTATCTTAGATAGTACCTGGTGTATTGCACTCAAAAGCGAGGTGACGGTAGCTTCATAGCTGGCTTTCAACTTTTTCTCATCAGGCGTGGTTTCACTTGATGGGTTCATTAGATCGAAAACCGCCCTGGCCACCTCGCAGCGACGGGCTTCAGTTGCCGCAGGTATACTAGGCCACTGTGCAATATCTAGGCTTATGCATTAGTCAAGTATTTTAATTCGGACGAACGAGTGCCCACCTTTGGTATAAATTGGTAACCATACATCATCACAACTCTTTCCTTCCAACCCCAAGATAGCGAACGGAGTACAAAACACGTGCGTGTATAGTAGATTCCACATAGTGTTCTGCAGGATAGCCTTCTTTAACACCCTTGTATTGACTTTGTGGATGCGTAACAGTTGGTCGTTGGAGAATGGCCATTCCACTTCACGGCGCACGTCCCATTCTAGATTCGTGAAGTCTTGTACCTGACTCACTACTGAAAAGAATTGAGTAGAGATGTCACGGTATCGCATCACCTTAACACTTCGAGCTTTCGTGCGCTGTGGGTAGGCCTTGTCGATGAATGCCTGCTTTAACTCCTCGTTTGCTAGACGAAGCTGCACAATCTCGAGGGCATGTTTCTCTACCAGCTCAGCGTTTTGTTTCTTGAGCAATTCTCGAAGTCGTTGTCGTTCCTCGCTGAACTGAGTGGTTTTCGCCCGTACTTCATCGCGCATGCGCAGTCTTTCTTCGTCAGCGTTGGCCTTGACATGTCTGAGATGAGAAAGTTCTTGTCTCTGCTCCACCAGGGTGGTCTGAAGCTGCAAGATCTCTTGCGTGTGCTTCTTGGTCAGTCCGGCTTCCTGTCGTTTGAGGTTCTTCTCATGTCGCTTTTGTTCTTCTCGAAGTTTCTCTCGCTGAGTTTGTAAATCTTCGTGCAACAGCCGTCCTTCTTGTTCCGCATTGAGCTTCAATCGAGCGACATTTGACTGATACTCATTCACTGTCACTTGATGTTTCCCCATCTCTTGCCGCGTTTGTTCGCAATGTTGCTCGTATTCGTTCTTCATCCGCTCGGCAAAGCTAACCTCTAGATCTTTTATGCGAGTTTCGTAGGTGTCTTTCACTTCTCGCAAGTGCGCGTCCCACTTCCAGTGTTCTTCGCTCATCTGGTCTTTAAGAGTGCTAATCTTTTGCTCATACCGCTTTTGCTCCTCCTCTTGACGAGCCGCACCTAATTGTCCTTCGGAAGATGCCTTGGTTGACTTGTTCTCTTTATCCTGTTGCTGTGAACCATCGTGTATTCGGGCCTCGAGATAGCGCTTTTCTTGTTCGTGGATTACAACTTGCTCGCCCAGCATGTCTTGAGCTTTCAACATCTGTTGGTGCTTGCTGTTAACCTCCGTCCTCAGGCTCTCCACCTCGGTCCGACTAGCTCGCAGTGTACTTTTCAACGTGTGAACCTCGATCTTCAAACTATCTAAGAGCCCCGCGTCTGCTCGATAATTGTCCAATGACCGGTGAGCCGCATCAAGTGAATGACAAAGCTCACGATATCGATGCAAAGCCTTGGCAGCCTCTTCTTCTGTTGGTCCATCCAACAGTGACTGTAGCATTGGGAATTCCTCTCCAGCTCTAAGCAAGAGTTCCTCAAATCGAGGTACATCCTGCGGGTTGGATGAGAACTGTCAGTACTTTGTCAGTCTCAATTCTCATGATGTACCATTAGATGAACTCACAACCTCGTCGTGCGGCTCCAACGGACCTTTGTCGCGCTGCAAGACGGCTTTTGTTGGTTTTTTGGGATCAACTTCCTTGGATGTTCCGCCGGATGATACGCGGTTCTTTCGTGAAGTAGCAACTGTTTCGACTTTGGCCGAGGCAGGGGTGGCAAGGCTAATGCTACGGCCCAACTGTCTTGGCTCACCCGACTGATGTGTAGGTGACACTCGTAAGTCGTTTTTGTCTTTCAATCGAGCCTGCCGAAGTACATTCATGACTGATTGCTTGGCTGATGATACACCTGTCTTCGTGCCAGGTGGAAGTGCGTCGGTAAAGCCTCCTTTACTTTAAGCTTGGCGCAAGTGCTTGAGGTTCCACGAAAGTTTGACTCGATGTTTACTCTGCTTAGCTTGATAATTCGCTTCTAGGAGCCTGTCGTACGCCCCCAGGATCGTTGGTACCCTGGTCACGTATACCGTTTGAGCAGATTTCCAAACGTCTGCGACAAATTCCGATTTATTGGAGGCGGAACTTCACAAGACTGAGTGCGATACAGTGGGTCTGCGGAGTAAAAGAATATACCCAGGTAAGCTGGAGCCTTGTGCGTCACGTAACCTTATGGTGGCTTACCGCACTCCTAATTCGGCCTACCCCACGCGAGCCTTCGTAATCGGTCTGTCTCCTATATTCGCAACGTCATGATAGCTTTCCGGAAGCCCCGTTACCTGGTGCGAGTGGCGACTTCGCACCGTGATGCCTCGTAAACGCGTTCCCTACTTAGGCACTTTTGTAAGCTCTCATAACATGGTAATCCTAGAATGAAGCAGATCTCGGAAAGGCTCGCCATACAAATTGGGAGCATCGTCGCCGTTGGCTCCTAACCTCGCGACATCCTCAAAGCCTTACTCTTAGACAAAAGAAAGCATGACTTCCAAGGTTGTCGTGGTCACATCTGATTGGTCGACCATCGTGTGCTGGCCTGCGAGTAAGCCTTGGAGGACGCCTCCGTCCTTCCGGTGGTGCGGAAAGCGGCCCTGGAACACACGTTCCATGCACTAGGGGGCCAGGAAACGCCAAAGCTCGACTTATAGAAAACACCCTGCAAAACACGGCAAACAGTGCATACCTACCTGCGCCTGATATAGGCGCATGTTGTATTGGTATAATTTCCAACTGGTCTTACAAAGCGCAGGCAAGCATAACTCAGAAACCTCCAGTCTAGACACAACAATGTAGAACGGCAAGGTGACATATAGTATAGGTCTAAGGGGTCGTAACGAACTTCAAACAATAGCACCGATATCGTACGCATCAACCTTCTTGTTATCCATGAAGAACATTTGTTACCCCCAAGGACTGCGACGCCGCTGGGGCAGTCTGTTCTGTTTCAGACTGGCTGAAGTTTGCTTCATCAGCCTGTGGAGGTAGTCTACCACCTTTGCGCGTGTGCACTTTCCGATATATAAGATAACCGAGAGCCACTGCTACAATAGCAGCCGCCACACAAACGCCCGCTATGCCACCGGTCGAGAGCCTACGAGTGCCAGAAGGGTCGCCGCTGTTATCATCTGTAGGTACGGCAGTACTTGAGGGCTCGCCAGTCAAACTCGGGGTCTCGGAAGATGCAGGCGATGTTGGAGGAGCGCTTTGCGTCGAAGCAAGGGAGGCTGCTGTTACGGATGTTGACTGCAAGCCATATGTACTCGAAGTCCAGCGCGATCCCTCGGAGTTCTCCGTTGATAATATAGGCCGCTGGGTCTCGTTTTCGATGCTGATGTATACGCCGGACGGGGTGAACATGTTGCTTATTCTGAGGCTGCCGTCTTCTTGTGAATCCAGCCGCCAAAACTGCCCAGTTGTTTCTTGGGTTGCGAAAAATTGTAGGTCGATGATCTGATAATTGGTGACGCCTAGCGCGAAGTCGTCCCCCTTCCCCACTGTATGCAGCCAATAGTATCCTTGAGAGCTGGTCTTTGTTGCAAACCACTGCTGACTGTCATGCCCGGTGACAGGCTCCAATATCACCGAAGCATTTTCCGGGGTAGAAGCAAGTGCACTAGACCAGCCGAGCGACTCAGTCTGCAGTATGAACGTAGTAGACACATCGATGTCAACCATTGTGGCAACCTTGGAAGGCTTAGTATCGAGAGGGACAGTTTCAATCGCGGTGTATAGAAGGCTACACATCAATATATATGAAGATTAAAACCCGAGGTTGTTTCCTGATAATCCCATTACAGCTGCGGCTGGTTCTTTTTTAGCGCCAACGCATGGTGTGCATCGGGAAGCATTCGGGAGCCGCCACAATATTGCCTTGTTGCCTATTTTGACTCAGCCTCGTCCGCAGCATGCTGCGGTCTCTTTCTCGCTTCTGATTACCGGTACAGGATACCATTGTATGGCGCATTCACCTAGTGGATAATACTTGGCTGATCTTCCGCTGCGATAAGTCAGGCTGTGGGTACCTAGGTAGCCGAAGAACAAAGCGCAAAACAGTCACATGAATTCATTCAAACAGCATGATCATGGTTTATCATGCATCCAGTTATGGATAGACTACCGCGCCACGCGATAGTTTGTGGTGCTTCCACCAAATAGAAGCCTCCAAAGAGCCGCCGATTAACTCCAAGACCAACTTCAGCGTAGCATTATAACGTACGGGCTGTTGCTGCCATTCTTCCACTGTGAAGCCGACTTTATCATAGCGGATATCCAACACACATGCGATGTCCAAATCTGAGAAGAAGTTAGTGACCAATGACATGGAGGTCTAAGCGGATCGACCGACCTTCCTTGGCATTCTGGTAACGTCGAGGCCGCTGATCTTCATCATCGGAGTTTCTGAAGATCTCCAATTGCGTCTTGCCAGCACTCAGATCCCTTAGTGTAAGCTGAAATGACACCTCCTCTTTACGCGGCTGATCCGACAGGACTAGGTCACCCTTATTGAGTAGCCATGTGAGTTGAGATTGCGCGTACGTGGCTCCATGGATCTGGGTCATATCCTTTTCTACGTGGAACGTATTTGAGTAGAGTTGGTCGAAGCAAACCGCGTAGTTGTGTCGGCAAACATCGGTCTTTCTCAAGTTCGGTATCGCATCTTTCTCGATACCACACACCACTGCTCCTCGAACCACTGCTGTCCAGGACTCCTTCGGCTGTCGGTAGCTCATCTGCATCTCTTCCTCGGTGATCGTCTCCTTGAGGCGATGTTTTAGGTACTCAGACGCCCCAAAACCACCCACAAGAAACAAGTGCTACACGAAGAGTCAGTATTGAGGATCAGTCGCTGGTGGATCGCTAGGCAGATACCTTTGGACGACTGCCTCTTTCTTCGATGCGATCAACATGTTCCCAGATGAGCTCAACTATCTGTTTGATGCAGGAGTCGAAAAAGCCTCGCATTGTCGATCTACAAATCATAATAAGCAGTGATGATATCAGGAGGCACTAAACATACTGTGGAATGGTAATTAGGCCCTTGTTTACTTTACCAAAAATGTCAAGGTTCTCCAACTCCCCTCGTAGGCTGAATCGAACATCAGGTGTTGAGAATGCAAACTGCTTCTTGACATCGTCAAACGCTTGCATGAGTTCTCTCATGGCGGGAGTTTCGGAGGCGTGATTTGCGTTTTTGTCGATGTCCAGATTTGGGTCGAGCTTTAGATATTCCTCCTCTCCAAGCAGCATTCTCAGCCACTTTTTGAACTCAAGGTTGATGAAAATGGATCCGCAGCGACTGCCTGGTATAGTAATTAGGCTCTGCATGGCCTCAGACTCAGTCTTACAAACCTGTGGGCTTGCCAATCTGCTCCAATTCGAGAGTTGGCGATCGTTGCGTAACTCGATATGAAACAACATCCTACATCCAAGATTAACCGACCATTGAAACAGCGCCAGGTACAAAAGTGTCATAGAAGGCTTACAACAGTACCGCCACCTGCGTCGCAGAGAATGAAGTAGTCCTTAGACTTTTGACGCCGTTAGTTACGGATACCTCCAATCGGAATTGACGCTTACTTGGAGGAATTCTTCTTCTTTTTCGTCACGATACCACCGCGCAGTGTAAAGCGCAGCTGCCTCGGGCTCTGTCACAAACATGATTGGCCTCAGCTTTGGAAAGTTGTCCTTATTAAACCCAGCTTTCGTGAGAGCTCTGTATGTGGAGTTCATAGCCATATAAGACCACTTCTAAAGCTTCGTCAATAGATTTTCACGCCGAGAGATCTGTGGACATACTGTGGGTATTGTGACAACAATATCCGTCGTTGTGTGTTTGGCGAACACGTTATTCTCGTCTACTCGCACTTCCATTTGCACGTAAGCAAACAATTTCTCGAGGTAGTCTGTCACAATCTCCTCCGGGCTCTTGTGAGAATACGGCGGTAGGTCGTTCTGGCCTTTGCTCAACATCATCTCGTCAAAGTTCAGATTCTTCATGCCGTCCAGAACCTGTAAAGTCATGTCAAGTTCCCCTAATAGATCTTCCACGCCAAGCTCCAACTTAGTGTGAATCATTGTCACTGCATCTGCGCTCAGACTCTTACCCCATTGCTGCTCCCCGGCCTGACTTGAACGCGAGTAAGAGATCACGCTTGGAACCTTCTCCTCGTTGTCCATCTGCGGACCCCATTGCTCAATTACATCGATTTCCTCGAGAGAGCATTCTGCACCTGAAGGTGTAGCCCACGCAATGCCTATATGCATCCCTTATTTTAGGACTAGCACGTCGTACGAGACGAAACAATGTTCACTCACCACTGAATGTCGTGCCATAGTCTATTCCCAAAACCAGTCGTAGTTCCTGAGGTTCCTGTAAAATCTTTTCCTCGCCTGCTGGAACAGTGGCATCAATCGGCCCATGACCTTTCCCAGACCCTGTACTGATAGGTGCTTCCAGTTCTGCCTCCTCGGTCTGCTCTAGTGCAGATACATTCTCGAAGTGGTAAATTTTGTTCATTGGGAAAGGTTATGCAATGGTATTCTCAGGCGGTCGTGGCTTCGTTGAGACTTCGAAGATCTGGATCTGATCCTCACTTTCCCATTGGATAGTGGTTCCTGTCTTGGATGGTGAAGTAGAACTCTAGACATACTAGAGCATAGAGTAAACGGTAGGGCGAAGACGACGTCAGCCGAAAGCACGCATCATAACTGGGTAGTCAACGGTTGGCACGTCGTTCAGAATTTGCCACACCCATAGCACACAGCCGTGTGCGTCCGTGCTCATGTGGTGTGACAGCGATTTCAAGTATGCGCCGGATTTGGAAGTAATTGACGAGTGAGCTGAAGAGGTCTCGTGTTCGTATGCATGAAGCTCATAAGCGAGGCAAGGCGTGGGACCAACAGCTTCGCACGCTTACCGCCACCTTACTGCGCCTGCGAGAATAGAGTGCGGTTTTGGACTCAGACTAGGGTCTGATCTTTCGAGATTGGTTGGGGCTGGTCTGTTAGATGCGGTATGACAAAACGCTTTCCTAGGCAGAAGCGATATGCGTGGCATTAGGAGTCTCTATAGGCATGCGCAGAATGCGAATGACGGCTGAGACACCTTTTCCCACACTTGATGCGGGGGTCGCAACGTCTCAACCCGAGGGTCAACAACTCTGCTCATAATTACTTGCAAATCGCATGTACCGGTGATACCAACCACCACTAGTGAGCGCTAGCTTTCGAAACCTTCAACACTGCATCTGCGAGTTCATCACGGGTTGTATGCATGGGTCGTCAGGTTGATTTCGACAAATTAGTTATACCTCGGCATCGTACCGGATTCAGAAGAAGCTGATACTTCCTTGAGATTGGTAAGCACTGAGACAATTAGTTGAAAATGACAAAACAGTAATTTGGGTACTATGTAGTTGCCCAACGAGCTCATGAAGAGATGTCGGTCATGTCCTCGACCAAAGGCGGCAAGATGTTAGTATCACGGAGGAAGCCCGTGCAAAAGTCTGAGAACGTCCAAACGTCGCCAAAATCTGTTCTCAGCAACCTTGCATCCGTCAATGAGCCGATACGGCGTGGATCGTTCAGCTCTCATCTGGAAAAACCTAACGGTGGAAAGCGCGAAGCTATCAAGGCATCATGGAAAGAGAGTAAATTTCACAAACTCAAAACTAAGATGACCTCCGAAAGGAAGACAAAGACTGAGAAAATCGAGTCTCTAGAAAAGCAAAATGAGAGCACCGAATTGACGACTGCTCTTGACACTCCGAGTACGCCGCAGCCGGAGTCTTCATTAGCGGAGGCGTTACCCACTAGCAATAGCAATGAACCCACTGCTGACTTGGAAGCTCCCGAGCTAAGTACCACTGTTTCACCAACACATTTGCCCGATACCTCATCCGAAGTGTCAATCATCTCGCTCGTTGCCGGTCTCGATCAGTCAACGAGGTTTTTGGATGATGGGGGCGATAGCCAGGAAACGGATTTTGCCATTTCCTCACACAACCCACCCCTGCTGATACATCGTCAGCCTGTCGAGCCGACAACAAGACCTATATTCAGCATTTCCGACACATCAGAGCAGTTGCAACAAATCAGAGCGTTGATCTTGATGCAGGCATATGACTTCCTGACAGAAATGCCTGCTGATACGACCACCATGGACTATGTGGACCAGATACTCCGGGCGTATCGCGTATTGCTGCAGAGGTACAGTTCGAACTCGGACAATCTACAGCAAGCGAAAGATCAACTGAAAGTATACCATAATGTCGAAAAGGAACTCAGGGATACACAGATGGAGTTAAGAGAGACAAAAGGAAGATTACAAGATGCGGAAAAGCAAAAAGGTAGATATGACAGAGAGTCTACTCAGCAGAAGGGACGATCAGCACAATTGGAACGACAGTTGAGGACGCAGCTGTCTAAAGACAAAGCACAGTGGCTATCTGAACGTAAAACCCTCTTGGACGATCATGAGGGGCTAATGATGTCGTATAGCCAACAGATACAGAACCTGCAGAAAGAGAAACAAGATCTCTATCAACATACAACACTAACGCAGCGAGAACACGACCAACGCTATCTCCGTTTACGAAACGAGAAGAATGCCACGATTACGGACTTGAAACAACAGATCGATCTTCTGACAGATGGAATTACACGCGCAAAGAAATCTGCGGAAGAGCAACTGAGCGTGCAGAAGGCCACGCTCAAAGCAGAGCATGAGCATGATCTACTCATGCATGACGAGGATGTCAAAAAACTCCGGAGGGAATTGCATATGCAAAAGAGCAGTCTCACCAAGGCGCATACACAAGAATTACAGCAACTGCAGGAAAGATCTCAGAGTGAGAAGGTGGAGCTTGATAAGAAGCACGATGAGGAAATGGCACGATTGCGATCTCAGCGCGAAGAGCTGAAAGTGGCGCTTGTTGTGAGAGACCATTTCAAGGGCTTGAAAGATCGTGAGCTTACTGCGCGATACAAACGAATCTCCACTGAGATCGAAAACTTTGCAAGCATGGAGTGGAACACTCGATGCGAAGCCAACTGGCCCCTCTCAGAGGCACAGCTTATGCGGCTTCATCCGAAAAATACAAGAAGACTGAAGCAGCAGATAGTTCAGCACTCCATGTGGGTACTTCTGTATGAGCATATTTTCAGTCTACCATTCAAGGTATTTGGGAAGGAAGGCGTGAGGATGAACAATGACTGGACCAGTATCTACGATTTGGGTAAGTCTGGTATAGTCGCTCAGATGATGTGAGACTAATTATTGCAGATGTGTCCTCACTAGAGTGGCCCACGATATCTTCAGAAATTGAAAAACAGCGGTACGAGACTGCTCGTTCACTGCTTACGGCCATTGAAGCACCTGGTCAAGGATCGACGGAACACCAAGAGCTACGTACTGCATACAGCGAAACAATCTCAACATTGGTTACGATCATCTCACAGGCTATCGAAAGGGTTGCATCGCTGAACGAGAGAGACCTGAAGTTACTTGATGCTCTTGTGAACCTCAGTGGGAGGACTTGGCTGGAATGCTGTTCTCAGAGATACAGACTCATCATGCAGCTGCCTATAGCTGAGGGCAATATTCTCAATCTGCCCCGCAAAGAAGCCCAGGCACTGACACTGGTTGTCAGTCCGGAACTAAAGCGGTACGGCAGCTCTCAAGGCGAGCAGCTTCACGGCGGCGAGCCGATCACCGGCTGGAAAGGACTTACCGTATCGTATCCAGCATGATAACAGGTGCGTTGGCAGAAGCCACGAAGCGGGGTCGATAGGACGAGAATATTGAAACTCAGCCTTGCATATGCGCTAGTGTATACGTTGCTTCTCCGGTGAGCGCATGCATCAACCAGTGCATATAAGCCTACATGCAGGCTGCCACCTAGTCAGAGGCTCAGGTGGCGCTCATGAGATTTTGCACATGCGATTCCAAATGAGTGGTGGCTAATTCTGGTGAACAAGGCTGAGATCATGCCCAGGTGAGCATGATGTGGGGCTCCTGTGGGCACTCTCACCCTTACCCTTTACTGGTCCTCGTCACTTCACACCGTAGCTTTTCAAGCTTGAAGCATTGATTTTGACTAGAGCCACTTGTTGGACGTGATCAGATCAGAGATCAGGAAGGCGCTTGGGCTGTTTCAACGGAAGTGGTACGTATTGGCTATGCCTCTTGATTGGCCGAAAGATTTTTTGACAAGTACAGCAAAGGCTTCGGAGATGGGGTTACGAGATAGCTTCAGAGCCGTCGTGAAACCGAAACGGGAGCCAGTCAATGCACCCAGACCACGAGTCAATGTACCAGCACCTCCGACCATTGAAAAGGGTGCATCTTCCCCGTTGCCACTAGCAAAACCCGTGTTACAGCGTCCGACCACAATAAGGCCCTCGAAACCCGCACCGCCAAAGCCACGCGTCACTCCTGAAGAAATCCGAGCCCTTAGAGACCTTATCAGGCAACGATATGCGCTTGACATTCAAATATGGGAAAAGAGAAACAACACAGTGTTTCAACGGAGGCTATTGAATGAGAAGATGAAAAAGGCTGATGCAGCTCTGATAGACATCAATAGGTGCCTAGTAGATTGGAATTACCCGGAACGCTTCGAAAGTCGCGAGCAGTACGAGAAATTTCAAGAAATCAAGCACCGGATAGAGACAGGATACAAGAGGAAATGGCAAGACGAACCTCCGTGGGTGCATATGGACACTGGAGGGGATCCAAGCCTGGGGCCCTTTGAGACTGATAGTCGATCGTTGTCTTCAAGACCGCGATGATGGTGAAAGGAAATGGCAACGTAGGCCGGAAACAATTGTAATGATAGTGTTGGTACGACTTGACTTGAAGCGCACAAGGTGCGACTTACCAAAAGACCACCTTATTTCATCTGCAGTTCAGATACATGAAACCTGCGCCGCAGAGCGAAGTAGCTCCAAGTACCCCACCACTGACTGGATATGCCCAATACACTCCGCCGGGTGCCTTACAGGACACAGTCACATATGCAAAGGACAAAGTCCGCAGCTTCACCTGGCACATTTTCCAGCTCACATTAGCATGTGATTGTACTGGTATTGCCTACCCAGATTCGCAGGTTGTGTTACCTCGAGAGGAGTACGGTCGGATTGTTTGTGCTCCAATACCACAGGTCAACTCAACCGCACCTACGCCGCCGGTACGCCGAAACCCCTAATCGGATGCATCGTATACTGAGAACACCGAGGGTCCACTGGTACACATGCATAACTCTGTTCCGAAGAGACAAGTCGAAGGGCCTCCATCATTTCAACACAGTGCCCCCGGATATTGAGGCGACAGAGAACGTGGCCATGCGCATTCTTGTCCGATTCATCTTCTTTCGCAGAGTGTTTTAATAGCGGCTATCGGTGCGACTCCAGTCCGAAGGGCGCCTCTGTTCGTCATTGCTCGTGCAAAGCGCGTCGCGGGGGTTATGCGGGTTGGGGACGATTCGACGGTTCGGCGCGTCGTGTCTTGTGGATAGG